GCCAGCCCGGGCTACATAGTGAGACCCTGTCTCAAACAAACAAACTACAGGCCCCCGTTCCTACTTGTGGGAGTACAGAGAGAAGTACATGTCCACAGAAAGAGAAGTCTCAGGAATTAAAGGGATGACAGGACGCACTTTTATTATGCTTCTGAACCAAAGACCTAAAGTCCAGGCACTGTGACTCATGCCTGAAATCCTAGTTACTCAGGAGGCAGAAATCAGGAGGATCGAGATTTGAGGTCAGCAAGAGACCCTATCAGAAATATCCAACACAAAAAAAGGGCTGGCGGGGTTATTGACAACATTCGGTTTTGCTTACCGTCGTGACATCCGCCCAGAGAACAGATCAAACTGTGTTCCTGGGGTGAGGGTCCAGGGCATCCAGGTGGAAACCAGTCCAGGATGAGGGTCTGGCTTTAGCCAGCTGAGGGCCATGTCGGGGAATGCAGGACATAGCTGGACAGATGGACCTGCCGGGCTCCTCCTGCTGTCCTGGACTTGATCCTGACACCCCCTCGACAGCCAGTCCCTGGGGACAGCTTGGCGGAGCTGTAGGAATCTGTGTCCCTTTCCTGAGATCTGATACAAGAAGGGCCTCACCCCAGGAAACTAAGGGGAAGACCCAGAAAACCAAACGAGTGGGCGATGGTCCTGTTTGAGGGGGGCTTGGTTTGTGGAATTTAGGGGCCACTTCTGCCTACTCCTGGGGAACACTAATCCTCACTTCATCTGTTCCCATTGTCACTTCCTGGGGCCACAGGGAAAAACCTGACACTGGGCTGTAATCCTGGTGCCTTGTGGCATTTTGTCTTCCCAGGGTGGCTTTACGATCCCTTCTTATAAATCATGTTTGTTTGTTTATTTATTTTGCTTTTTTGAGGTAGGGTCTTGAAACGTATCCCAGGCTGGCAGAATTCTGCTGCCTCAGCTTTCCAAGTGCTAGGGTTACAGGTGTCTGCCACCACGCCCGGCGTGAGCCATGGTTTGTGTCTCCTGTTCTCGCAGTGGGAATGAATCTCCCCGCTCTGGCAGGGGCCATCTCTCTGGTGACTGTTAGTCACCTCCTGGTGGCCAGGCTCCAGGATCAGAACCTGAGAATCTTGGTGCAGAGTGGAATTGTGAGGCTGCATTCTGTGCCCTGGAGACACAGCCCTGCCCAGCTCCTCCCCAGCCCCCAATACCCGCCCTCAATGGGATGACTCCTCCCAGCTGGCCTGGGTCGCTCCTTCATGTCAGCCTCTGCCTGTCCTGTGCTGGAGCATAGGGGGGCGTTTCCTGGCCTGACCTCAGGCTCCCGCCCGCTGCTCCTGGGCGCCTCAGGGGGGCTAGCCATGTCCACAGTGCAAGAAGCAGGTAGGAGGCCAGGAACAAGGTGGAGGTGGAGGTGGAGGGGCCAGGCCGGGGGTCTGGGAGGAAAAGGGGCAGGGAGATACAAGGCCTTCACAGCAGAGGCACCGGGGGCCTCTGGCTTCTTCCCTCTGTCCCTCCACCACAGACCTCTTCTCAGGGATCCTCCCACAGTCATTCCCCAAGCTCACCTGTGGCACAAACTCAAGACCCCAGGATAGCACCATCTCAGAGACCCCCTGTCTTTGAGGGGGGCTAAGGCCCAAGGAAAACCAAGTTCTGGGCGATTCTGGCAACACAGAACAATGGCTGAGAGAAGGAGGCCAGGATCCAAGATGGGGTCTTTGTGGCCCAGGCTAGCCTTGACCCTCCTGCCTCAGCCTCCAGAGGGCTGGGATTACAGGTGTGCATTACACCACTGTACCTGGTTAACCCCAATAAATTTGCTGTCCTCTGACAGAGGGTAGAAAATTAATCTTCCCAGCCACACAGGCAGCTTCCCTACTTCTGGGGTGCTCTTGATCTTTTAAAAATCAGAGATGGCGTTCTGAAATGATCCAGACATATTTCTAGCTTGCAGGGGGGCAGGGCTTCATTGTGGAGGAGGAAGGTTCGAATCCTTACTATCAGCTTGGCTGATCCTTGAGTTCAGTTAAATGTTTACTGAGGGCTAGAGGCGTGGCTCAGATGGTAGAATGCCTGCCTCGAAAGTGTAGGGCCTTAGCCCGGCACTGGTGGCTCACGCCTATAATCCCAGTTACTTGGGAGGCAGAGATAGGGAGGATTACAGTTTGAGGCCAGCCAGAGCAAATAGTTCATTAGCCCCATCTCCAAAGTAACCAGAGTAAAATGTACTGGGGGAGTGGTGCAAGTGCAGTCCTGAGTTTGAACCCCAGTACTGCCCAAACACGTTTGTCCAGTACTTATGTTCTGATGTTTCCAACACAGAGAAAAGACACTACCCAGCCCCAAGGGTTTCAGTGAGCCTCGCTCAGTGGGGAGCCAGGGTCTTCCCCCAGCTGTGAACTGGGGATAATAATGTCTGTCTGTCCTGACACAGGGAATCAGGTAGGATGCTAGGCCATGGACCTATGAATCCCCCAGGTGCCCACACAGAACAGGACAGGTGTGTGGCAGATGTTGGTGTCGTCCTCGAAGTGCCATTTGGACATGGCAATTCTGTCACTCTGGAAGGTAGCAGGGCAAAATGTCCCCAAAGAAGGGACATCTGAAGTCTTAACAGTTTAAAGAAGTCTGGCATGCTCAAGTCACACAAGGAGTTTCCAGAACATTCTAGATGGGACCCAGTTGTTCTTGTAACCACGGCCCACTCACTCCCTGCGCCACTCTGGGCACCCACATTTGCATAAAGTTCCCCCGATCAAGAAGTTTTGGTGGGCGCCGGGGCTCAGGCCTCCAGCTACTCAGGAGCCAGAGATCAGGAAGATCTCGGTTCTCAGCCAGCCCGGGCAAATAGTTCGCAAGACACCGTCTTGAAAAAAGCCCTTCACAAAAAAGGGCTGGTGAGTGGCTTTAAGGTGTAGGCCCTGAGTTCAAACCCCAGAACTGTAAACTAAAAGAGAAAAGTTTCCGTGGGCTGCGGTGGCTCGTGGCTCAGGGTAGACTGCTTGCCCTGGGTTACAGCACTGCTCACTCCCCTTAAAAAAAAGAATGAACAAGCTTTGCAGCCTTGCCCCGGCCAAGGGCATTCAGCTGACGTCGCACGCTGACGTCGCACGTACCAGCGCGTTGGCCTCTGCGTTTGGCCTGTCAGTCTGGATACGTGAGCACAGCCATTAATACTGCAACAGCTCTGTGCGCTTGGGAGAATTGCTAGAGAGCCAGCTGTAGTGGTATACACCTGTAATCCCTGCATTTGGGAGGCTGAGGCAGGAGGGTCATGAGTTCAAGGCCAGCCTGGGCTACACAGGAAGACAGACTGTGTCTCAAAAACCTATATAAAAAATTGTTTGAAAATGTGGACCACGGGAGACTCTGTTTCACTGTAGGAGAATTAAGTGGTAAGGACGGAGACTGAAGGGCGTCGTGTGAGTTTAAGAACGTCTTATGATACAGCTTTAACGGAGACATCGCTGTGTGCCATGTGAAACTCATGCTTAATTTATAAAATAGTTAGAAATATTTTACCTCCTCCGATTGTAAGGCTAACTTACTGCAGGCTGACCACAAAACTGAAATGTTCCAAGTGTTTATCTAAGATAAACATTTAGCAAGTATTCAGCAAATGTTTGGCAAGGTCCTCCCCGGAGCGAGGCACTTGTCATCGGTTACAGTCTTGGAGACATTTAGTTTGCTTCTGCCTTTTTGGGTGCCATCCCAGGATGTGAGTTGCCAGGTGACTGCGTGTGCCAAGAATTTCTCGTGACCGGTTATCAGCGGGTCTCAGCCTCAGGACCATGCAAGGGCACGATCTTTGTTTCTGGTACACTTGGGGAGAGTTATGGTCTCCTGTGACACTTGTCCCAGCCCCCAGACAGGGCCAGCCCATCCCACTTAACCAGCCCCCCTAGTGGGGGCCCCAGAGGAAGCATTTATACACAGCAGTCAAGAGCAAAATTTACTTGTTCTTACAGAAGTGGTAATACTAAACAATTTTTAAGATAGCCATGGCGGTACACATCTGTAATCTCAGCCATTCCGGGAGGTGGGGTAGGAGGATCTTGGTTTGAGTCCAGTGCAAGCAAAGGCACAGCCCCTATGTGAACCTCAAGTGGTAGAGAGGCAAGCGGGAGGCCCTAAGTTCAAGCCTCAGTCAGTACTAACAAAGATTAAAAATGGAAGTATATTTTGCAGGGACCAAGTAACTCACACCTGTGACAGCAGCGTGTGTGTGTTGTGTGTGTCTGAGAAAGAGAGAGGAGAGAGAGGGGTGGGCAGGTGTGTGTGTGGGACAGACAGACAGACACCTTAGAAAGAGCCTAAACCAGTCCATAGGATTGTTTTGCACCTGTGGTGGTTGGCACCTGTGTCTGTGGGAGGCCATAGGACTGCAGTCTGAGGCTGGCCTAGGGCAAAAATTCCAGGCCCTATCAGAAAAAAAACCAAAGCACCCCCTCCTGCCCCACAAAAAAGGCTGGAGATGTGGCTCAAGCGGCAATTGCGAAGCCCTGAGTTCAAATCCAGCTCCACCAAAACCAAAACAAGACTGGGGAAGTCGGGGACGCAGGGCAGGTGGGCACTTTTTTTTTTTTTTTTAATAATCAGTGGCCACAGCCCCCGTAAATGGCCTAATGTGTCCCAAAAGGAGAGGTCACAGAGGCGGGGTGGGCCCAGTCAGGACAAGCGGAGGGCGGCCTGGGGCCTCACCCGCCGCATGGGTGGTGGCCTCGGAGCACGGCGGGTCGGGGACTCTGCTGTCGCGCTGGGTAGGGGAGCCGCGGCCCGCAGAGGTGGACGAGCCTATGCAGCGTGTAGGACTAGCGCGCAGCACCGCTTTGCCCGCGCCTCTGAGCGCCACGTGGTCCAAGAGCCGCCGAGAGGGGCGGGGCGGAGCGCGGAGGAGCCGCGGCCTCTTTAAGACGCTCATTTGGCCCCGCCCCCGCGCCCCGCCCCCGCGCCGCCCCACGTGACCCGGGTGTTGTGACCGGAGGGAGGGAGGGCGGGGAAGCCGCGGCGCGCCCGCCCCGCCCGGCGCGCGCCTCACTGGGCCGAGCCGCCCGGCCGCCGCCGACCCCGCCGCCGTCCCCCGCCGGGCCGAGGAGCCGAGCCGGGCCGGGCGCGGGCCGGGGCCGCCATGGACCACAAGCCCCTGCTGCAGGAGCGGCCGCCCGCCTACAACCTGGAGGCCGGCCAGGGCGACTACGCGTGCGGCCCGCACGGCTACGGCGCCATCCCCACCGCGCCCCGCCGCCGCCGCCGCCCTACCCCTACCTCGTCACAGGTGGGCCTGGCTGGCGGGGCCGGGGCGGAACCGGGCGCGGGGGGCGGGGGCGGCTTCCCGGCCCCGCGCCGCGGGCACCCGCTCGGCCCGGGCCTGCGGCGCGCCCTTCCCGGCCAGGCCCGGCCCGGTTGCGGTGAACTTTGTGTCGCGGGCGCACTTGGCACCGGAGGGCGGGGGGGAGGGCAGGGCGGCCGTAGTGACAGTGTCGCCCCATTCCCCCTCGCCCCACAGGGATCCCCACCCCGCACCCCAGGGTCTACAACATCCACAGCCGGACGGTCACCCGGTACCCCGCCAACTCCATCGTGGTCGTCGGAGGCTGCCCGGTGTGCAGGTGAGTCCCGGGGGGAGGGGCGGGGTCCCGCCGGGGACAGGGACAGCGACAGGGAGCAGCCGGGCCCGCTCGCCCCAGCTCTGAATAACTTGGGGGACACTGGGCTCCCCGTTCCTAGGGCGCTGTGTGCACTGGGGGCTCTGGCAGCCCCCAGGGAGTGGGGTGCAGAAATGTGAACTCGGGGACCCGCGAATCCAGGCCCTTCTCCCACCCCCCTCGGTTTTTGCAAGTTTTCGTTCTTTTCAGGAGCGCCCATACTTGACCTGGGTGGCCGGTGTGTCTGAAGAGCGGGGTCGAGTGGCCCTGGGAGCGGCAGCTGTGAGGGTCAGGAATCCTGAGCCCGACTTCACTGCTGGCCACTAGCTGGCCCAGGAGACCCTGGTTCTTTGTTCCCGGCAGGAGCGTTTTTTCCATAGCCCCAAAGCGGGGACAGGAGCTCGGGAGGACGGGGTTTGGAGGTTCTGGGGCAGCGGACTCGGGACTCACGCAGGAGGTCAAGTGTGGTCATGAGTTAGGAAAGCTGGGTTTGGACTTCATTTCAGAAGTGTGTGTGTCCCTGTCCCCGTCCCCGCCGGGCCATGGGATTTCACAGCCCTGGGAACAGCTGCTGTCCCTCTCAGCTAACCTATGTGTCCGGTAAAGGGGAGTGTGGGCCCTTCCCCCACCCAGGAACCCCAGTGCACACCCAGGCTGGGGTGTCTGACCTTGCGAGCGATCGTGGTCCCACTAATGCTTTGGCCTTTGGGGCAGGAATTGGTACCCCCCCCTCCCGGTGGCTGTTTGGTCCAAGGCACACAGTGCGAGTTTATTGTGTGCTTGGTTCTTTGAAGGAGGTGCTGGGTCTGGGTGAAGAGGAGGCATGGCCTGGGGGTGGCTCACCCCGATGAGCCAGGGGGACAAGATGGGGTGCCCTTTGCAGAGCCACTGGGAGTCCTTCTGGAAGAGTGCATGATGAGGTGGGAGTTGGGAGGCTGCTGGCGTTTAGCCAAATCCTGTGGGCTTGGAGGCCTGCCATGCCCAGGGCTCTCTGTCCCAGCTCAGCCCGGCTGGAGCACTCCAGGGGAGGGGTCTTCGAGTGATATCCCCAGTTTAAGGAGGGGTGTCCAGCTGAACAGAGGACGGAGGCCGTGCCTGGAGGGGTTTGGCTGGGCTTCCGTGACTGTCAGTGTTGTCAGCCCTGCTGGCTACAACTGGGTTCTCTTTTCCCATCAGGGATGGGGTACCCGGGGAGAGGTCCGTGACCCTAAGCTCAGAGGCGGGGAGCCTGTAGCTCAGTGGTGTGGCCAGAGGCAGAGGAGGCCAGGAGCTGTGGTGGACAAGTGACATCCCAGGGCTGAGCCGCCACTGGCTGGCCTGCTGGCAGAGGGGAGGGGAGGAGGGAACACTTTCCCTGACCCTTCCCTTTCTCTAAGAGGCCCCTTGTGTCATTTCCGAGGTTTGTGGCTTCTGCCAGTAGGGCTCCCCTGTCGCCCAAAGTCTAGAAAACATCAAGCCGCACCCTCTGCCCTCTGGGTTCTTGTGGGGTGCTGCCTTCATTTAGGAACTGGTGGCTTCTCCTGTGACACTGGGCAGTGATGGCCAGCATAGAGGAGGCTGGGGCCTTTGAGGACAAGTTTTGGGGTGCTCAGCTCTTAAAGCAGGGACCAGTGTCTGGGCTGGGGGGCCGGATGTCAGGCAGTGAAGGCCCTTCTCACCGGGACCCTCATACCTGGCGTCCCTCTCTCCTCTTCAGACCCTCTGCTGCTGGCCCCGGCTCCAAGGCCACCCCCACCATTGCCGCAGCAGTAACTTTGGGTGATGCTGGGTGTGGGGCATCCTGTGCCCAGGCAGGGGAAGGAGAGGGGCGGCCACAGGAAGGGCGGTGCACCGCCCTCAGGTTTTGGGGTGGGGGACATGTGTGCCTTGCTGCCCCTCGTGACAGTAGAGACCTGCCCCGTGTAGCATCAGCTTCTCACGTGACCACACTTTCTCCCTTTCCAGCTCTAGCCTGCCAGGCCGTGTCCCTTCCCTCCCTGGTGGCTTGGCAGGGATCTGCCCGAGTCACACGTCTGTGATTCCCTCTGAGCCAGTCTGCCATCCTGCCCGAGCCTCTGCTGAGCTGCCTGGCTCCATCTTCCCTTTTTAGCTGGTTTTCACCTCTGTGGCTGGGTGAGGCTCATGCCCCACCCCCCAGCCTCGGACCCCCTGGTGTGTCTGCACTGGTGCTGGGCCTGACAGCCTTGGCGGGGGGGCTGTCCCTAGGTGCAGGGTGTCTGCGGCCTGGCAGGGCCACCCTACACTGCTGGCCAACAGCCCAGGTCACGGGTCACAGGTGCAGTGGGCATAAGCCGTGGAGGGCCTGGCTGCACCAGTGTCCTGCTGGGTCCTTGCATTGGATGGACATTTAGTTCCGGGTGACCAGAGAGGCAGGAGGAAATCCGAGGGGCTGGTCTTGGAAGGCAAGAGAAAAATCTCTTGTCCTGGTCACGTGCCCCACGCTCGGCCCTCAGCCAGTGCAGAGGCCACCCAGTGCCCTGGGAGTCCCTGGAGGAAGTGGGGAGAATGAGGGGACCATGAGATGCCACAGAGCTTTGGGTTGCTCCCGCTACTGCGTTGAGGGAATGGCTGTCCCTGGGCTGGGGTGGGGGACTCAGACTTTGGCTCAGCAAGGCAGTGTTGGCCCCAGGGACTGGGGTGAGACCTGCTGAGCTGTGGGAGTCCCCTGGCCTGGCTCTGCCCTGCTTTGGGAGGTCCTACTGGACTGTCACTATCCAGGCAGCTCCCCTTGCCCCGTGGGGGGCTTTTTGGCATGGACACCCTGAGTGACATGTCACCCTGCCCTAGCCCTAGTTTTGGGGTACAGCCGGGTTGAGGGGAGGGAGAAGGTCCTCTTTCTCCCAGGAGGGGGGCTCCACTGAGCCTTGAGGCCTCCTGGACCCCGCTCCTGAGCTGAGGCCTGTGGGGCGGGGTCCTCTCCCACTGGGGCCATGACTGCAGAGCCATCTGGGCTTCTCTTAAGATGGTGGCCTCAGGTGTGGGGCTGGGCCATCGTCGTGCCCGTGGAGTGGGAGGCTAAGGACACGGAAAATCCTTTCTGGCGGTTACTTGGCCTTGGAACAGGGGACTGCCTGCCCTCAGGCAGCTTAGGATCTGCCTGTCCCACCTCCTCTGCCCACTTCTGTCCCTGGTGACCCCTCCCAGGGTCCATCTGTGGCAGATGTCAGCAGGATCCAGTGGCCACTTGCTCTGTGAGACTCACAGCAGGGCTTAGACACATCTCAGAATTAGTCAGTTCCCCAATTCTCCAGCTTCAGTGATCCTCCCTGACCCTCCCTGCAGGGACCTGTCGCAAGGATGGGGGCAGGGCCGCCCGCACTGCTGGAAGGCGGGGTTTGGAGTCTGAGCCAGATGATAAGAGTTGAGGCTTGTCCTGAGTTGGGCTTTTGTCCCCAGGGGACATCCCCCCTGCTGGGTTGAGATTGGCCTAGAGACCACACCGTGGATCTCAAATCAGATGGTGGCTTTTAAAAATGTGACTTGTGGCTTGAGTGTCCCCGAGACGGTCAGTGAGAGAGACTAAAGAGCCACACACAAGCTCAGGCACGTGGTGCCAGGGTGAGTCTGCAGCAGAGCTCTGCTGGAGTTGGGGGTGAGGGGGTGGAGTCTCGGGGTGCAGGTGTGTCCCCTGGCTCAGAGCCAGCGCTTTCTGAAGTCAAAGGTCTCCCCATCCCATGGGCAGCCCGTGGGCTCAAGTTCTCACAGGACGGGATGAGGATCACAGATTGTCATTGTCATTGCTGAGCCTGGGGTGGGGGGGGTGACCCGGGTCCCACATGGGTGTGACTGAGGGGAGCGGCCGTGGCCATGAGTGCAGTGGGGAGGCAGCCCAGGGAGGCCATGCTGTCCTGTGGCATCTAGCCCAGCACTTGTGACCGAGGGTTGGCAGGGGTGGCACCAGCTCCCAGCTCAGCTCTGGCAGGAGGAAGTGGGAGCTCTGGGCTGGGAGCCTCCTGGGTTTGAAGGCTGAGGGCTTGAGTTGTCCTGGTGCCTTGGCTGAGACAGTGCCTCACTGTGCCCAGGCTGGCCTGGGACTCGGAACCCTCCTGCCTCACTCTCCCAGGTGCTGGGATTACAGGTGTGCACCTCTATGCCTGGCTTATTCTTTTTGAGTTCTCCATGCAGTTGCAGGGCTGAACACCTGAGGCGTGGGCTGTGAAGGTACTATCAGCTCAAGCAGCTGTGACAGGGAGCCTGGATGGAGAAGTAGGGGGAGGCAGGTGGGGGCTGCTGCCTTTGAGCGCTTCACACCAGAGGACAGTAGCAACCTGTGTTTGTGACACCTGAGACGACAAAACGCTGGGTAGCATGGGGGAGCCCATCCCACCTGGCTGGACACCAAGGCCCACCGGGTCTGGCAGCACCTCCTCGGGAGCAGAGCCACTGAGCCAGGCATCCGGGCCTCTGCATTCTCTCCTCAGGAGGGTTTGACCTGGATGGTGCAGGCCAGTGTTTCTGGGAATTTCAGCTGCTGGGAAGAAACAGAACGGGGTGCACCTGGCTCCCTGCAGCCCAGGCCTGATCCTGTCCATCTGTGCCTGGGGATAGCTGGGCCTTCTGCCAGCCTGACCCCTGACCCCGGGTTAGAGAAGCCCCCAAGGCTGGGATGCTGTATGCAGTCTGGCTGGGTGGAGGTGGCCTCGAGGAGGCCAAGGAAATGTGGTGACCTCATGACCTTGTACTTAGGAGGGGACACTTTTGCAAGATTCATACAAGAAAACTCCTGATTCACTTTGGAGCAGGGGTCCCTTTCCCCCACAGAGCTCATGGGGGACAGGCTGGTGGAAGTACAGCGGGGTTCACCGTCCACCTGTCTGTCTGTCCTAGGTGGAGGCAGGTGGGAGGTGAGCATTCAAGCAGTTACACGGAGACTCTGAGACACCCAGCTTTTATTTGTGCACAGCCTGGGAGCAGGCCGTCTGTGATGCTGTCACCTGCACTGTTTGAGCTTGTGTTCAGGCCGGGACTGTCCTCCCCTCTCCACCTGGTGGGCAGGAGGAGCAGGGTTCCACCACTGTGCCTAAATGTCTTAGCAGCGTTTTAGACCAGGGGAAGCCCCTCCTCACCCTCCTCTCCCTTCAGCCAGCTCAGCTGTCACCAGAGCCCAGAGTGACTGAACAGCCCCCACCTCGTGTCCTTCTGTCTTGCCCTGACTTGTTCCCTTTTCTGCCCCAGCAGTCTGTCCTCTCCAGGGCCCTGTCCCTGTCCAAGCAGCCGCCTGAGTCCTGGGGAGGAGCTCATTTGAGTCTCATTTTAGCTTCAGCCAGCTCTGTGTCTAGGACTTTCCAGAAGGAGCCTAAAGAGCAGGGCACCAGGCTTTTTTTTTTTTTTTTTTTTTTTTTTGGTGGGACTGGGATTTGAACCCAGGAGTTCACACTTACAAAGTAAGCACTCCACCACTTGAGCCACATCTCCAGTCCTTGTTGCTCTGGTTATTTTGGAGATGGGATCTGAGAACTATTTGCCTCAACTGGCCTCAAACTGTGATCCTCCAGATCTCTGCCTCCCAAGTAGCGAGGATCACAGGTGTGAGCCGCTAGTGTCTAGCTCTTGAGTCTTTGGGGCTCTGAAAAGACCCATATACCAGGTGTGGTGGTACATTCGTGTCATCCCAGCACTCAGAATTGATGCAGAAGGATCAAAAAGTCCAAGGCTGGCCTGGGGATAGCAAGACCTTGTCTTAGAAAAAGGAAAAGATCCTTGAATCTGCTGGTGACCTGTGGTCTGTGCACCTGTGCGTGTGGCAGATTCTGGGTGACATTCACAGTGTACTCTGCACGTGGGAGGCAGGCTTGACTTTCTGAATGCAAGGCCTTCCAGACACCAAACCCCAACCCCCAACCCCCAACCCCCAACCCTGCCTGGGCACGTGTGACGTTTTCCCGTAGGGACGGAGAAGGCAAGCTAGCTGTCCAGCCCTGAAAGACACCCGGGGTAGATTTGGTCTGGGGGTCTCGTCTTAACGGATGCAGGAAGTTTTCTAGGAGCCAGCGTTGGCTCAGGTCCCTCCTTCCTCTTGAGGCAGAGGGTGTGGCAGTGGGACGTCAGTGTCGCCAGCGCAGGCTGGTGGCCCTCGGAGCTAATGCTGCCTCTCTCCCCGCAGGGTCGGGGTTCTGGAGGACTCCTTCACCTTCCTGGGTATCTTCCTGGCCATCGTCCTGTTCCCCTTCGGGTTCATCTGCTGCTTCGCCCTGCGGGAGCGAAGGTGCCCCAACTGCGGAGCCACCTTCACCTAGCGGCCACGCCTCCCAGTGGGAATGGCACACTCGTTTCGATTCCGTTCTGGACTGTTCTGAAAGCCAGGTGGGGGAGTTTCGTGTGCGAGCGAGCGTGGGTCGCAGAGGGGCAGCGCTGTGCGCCCGGGCTCAGTGGCCACTCGAGAGCGAGTGCTGCTTCTGTTTTTTGCAGTCTTCAATTTGAGAACGGCGACAAATACAGTTTTAAATAAATGAGATTCATACCGTTGTTCTGTGCTGGGTCCCATCTTGTCCCGTGGTCCTCGGCCGGCTCCAGAGCAGGGTTGCAGTTCGTCGTGGACATCCAGCAGGACACCTGGACGTGGCAGAGCGTGTGGCTCTGGCTGGGCACCCGAGGCCTTAGCTCCCCGGCCTGTTCCTGCACCCAGGTGACAGCGCCAGACAAGCGCAGGAGCTGGAGGCCAGGGTGCCTGCCTCCCGGCTTTCCTGAACTAAGGGACCTGCCCTTGCTTTTCTGGAATGGCCACCGAGCTAACGCGAAACATGCCTGTGCTCTTTCCCGGCTGGGGCTCCTTCCCCGACAGTGCGGCAGGACCCCCGCCTCACGGCTCTTGAGGCTGTTGGCAGAGGCCTGGCAGTGTCCCTCACGGGCACCTGCGTGTGCTCCCGCGAGTCTGAAGGAGCCAAGGTCACTGACACTGGAGCGCCGCCCTGGGCCCTGCCCCATTTCCAGCTTAGACAAGGGATGGGCCGTGACACGGTGAGGGGCCTGCCCCTCCAGAGTGGGTCCATCCAGCCCCGCTCTGCATGCGTGAGGTGCCAGGCTGGGACACGCTTGCTCCTCTGGTCGCTGCTCACCTAGCTTAGGAAGGGCAGCACACGGAGCCCTCAGCTCCACGTGTCTCCCGCGTGCCAAGACACAGCGGGGATGGAGGACCTGGATGGGCCAAGGCACATGTAGCTGGTAATGTGGCAATGTCACAAGTGCTAAGAACAGCTGTCGTGAGGGCAGGCGCAGTGGCAGCAGTCTGCAGCTCTAACCCAGCAAGGATGGAACCTCTATCTTGGGAGCTCCACGTTTAATGAAGTTTAAAATTTCTAAGCTAAGACTTACTAATTTAATATTAGGCTTTTTGTAATTCATATTGATTTAAATGATTTGCAGGCCAAGATGCAAACTTGTACAGTGTTTCTCGAGCTAAGCTCATCGCACTAGTTAAGATGTGTTTTGTCTGATCTTGTTTGCAGCCAGGTGCAGAGAGCAGTCACGGAAGCACAGGTGTCCCTTAGGCTGGCTGCTATTTAAAAAGACATAGACGATACAGTGGGGAGAACCAAATTTACTGTTTTTGGGGTAGAACAGTAGGAGGCAAATATCTGAAATGACTGAACTGGTCACTAAGCTATTCTAAAGACAGAAACGTGTCAGCCCAGCTGTGCTCCACTGATCTGTGGAGTAGGGGATGATGGTGGTCACTGCAGGCGAGGGCTCCACACACGGACAGCCAGGGTCCTTGGCCTCACCGGATGATTGGCGCCGACCGGTCATTTGTCACCGTTGGCCGGAGTTTCACAGTAGCAAAGGGGTTTTCTCCACTGTAGGGAAGGAAAGAGCTCCATCCAGAGATGCTGCTCCCGACGGGTGACATCCCACAGCCCGCCTTCCCCCACAGGTCCCCATGGCGACCTCCCTCCAAGGGAGCATGACCATGGGGTCATTCTCTCCTTGCTGTCCCCAGCTCTCCAGGTCCATTCCCCAGAATGTGTAAAGCACATTCTGTGATGGCACAGTGGCCACGGCGTGCGTGGTTCTGCAGACACAGCCTTCGCAGGCTGGGCCCTGCGGAGAGGACAAGGACACATACCTGAGGAAAGGTGGCTTGCCGTTCCCATCTGCATCACTCTGTGGGAGAGACAAAGGGGACGTTTATGGAAGGCTCATGACATGGTTCTCTACTGGGGACGGAACCCTGGGCCTCTGCTTGCTGGGCAGGTGCTCTGCCACCCCAGCACCTTTGCTTTTAGTTTGTTTTTCAGATAGGGCCTCAGGCTAACTTTGTGAGGCTGGTCTCTGATGGACGTCCTCCTGTCTCCGCCTCCTGAGTCGCTGTGACTACAAGTGGCCCCAAAATTGAGACGTTTTTAGTAAGACCTGGAGGTAAAGACAGCAGAGGCAGTCTGTGGCCGACTATGTGAGGTGCAGAGGTGTTTCTCTAAACTCACTCAACGGGACAAGAGAAAACCACCCCAGTGTGGCGCGGCCACGGTGCCTGCAGGTCAGCCTGTCTCCCAAACTCAGGAACTCAGATCTTAGTGAATTAAACATTGAGCCACGGCCACAGGGACCAGCCACAGCAGAGAACAGAGTGTGGCAGACTCGGGGGGAAACCGCGGCTCTTGTGCTGGGAGCCATGATGACTGTTTTGCTGTTTGAAAGCTGCAGCGCTGAGCGACAAGAAAACAGCAAGTGATGGGGGGGGGAGGAGGAAGAAATGACCCAAGCCTTTGTATGCACATATGAATAATAAAAAGAAAACAGCAAAACCTGTTGCTTTGGGGGCTGACGCAACGGCTGGAGAAGGTGCAACCGCACACGTACACCCACGGCACTCGGGGCCACCTCCCAGACCCGGGGAGGGGGTTTCCACAGGTCACAGGTGGCTGTCTGCACCACCACTACTACCCACACGCAGTCACTCAGCACCGCCAGCAGAGGGCAGGAGAACACCATGTGACCCAAGGGAACCAGGCTGCCCCCAAGTCCCTAGAAAGCTCTGCCCCTAGACAAGTGCCTGACTTGCCGGGGCCAGCCCTGGGGGCGAAGGTGAACACCAGGACCCCTGGTGGACATCTGCAGGAACCTGGACATACAGACTCACAGCCAAAGATGGACCTGAGATCTGTCCTCCCTGGAGGAGCCGAGGGCTGGTGGCGTGAGGCGCAAAGCCACTGGCCGGCTCACCCTGTCCCCGTAGGACTGGGGGGGGGCTACGAAAGTGATTCCTCCCCATGGGGCCTCGCCGCCTCAGCAAGCTGCAAGAGACACCACCTGCTCTGACTTCCACGTTGCGTGGTAAGAGCTAACTCATCGTGATTGTTGTTACCTTTTTAAAACACCACTGAGGTGTGAACCCAGGGCCTCACATTTGCTAGGCGGGTGCTCTACCGTTTGAGCCACTCCCCCTGCCCTTTTAGCTTTAGGTATTTTCAGCAGGGTCCCTTGTTTTTGTCCTGATCTGGCCTTACATCAGACCCTCCCATCCCTGCCTCCCAGGTAGCTGAGCTCGCAGGCGTGTACCACCACACCTGGTCTGGTGGTTGAGGTGGGGTCTTGCTAACTTTTTTACCTGGGTTAGATTGCTCAAACCTCAATCCTCCGATCTCCACCTCCCAAGTAGCTGGGATTACAGATGTGAGCCACTGCGCCCAGTTAGGATTTGTTTTTAAAAAACACCAGGAGGCCCAGCGATTGCGGGCTCAGATGCTGGCATGACTGGGTTGCCAGGAGCAGTGAAAGCCCCAGCCCTGGAAGAAGTCTCCTGGGAAGGGCGGCCTCGCCCGCCCAAGGTCACCTTGAGCCACACCCAGCACTGCTCACCCTGCCCTCCGCTGCTGCCTCTTCACACTGGAAACCACCTCCTTCTGTCCCCTCTTGGGGCCAAACTGTCCAGCCATCAGGGAAGAACTCACGAACGGGGGCGTGGGGCACTCAGCCCACCCAGCCTGAGAGAAAGAATCTCAGCAAATCCTTGACAGTAGGTGGCACGAGGCCACACGTGCTGTGGGAGGGAGGCGAGCAGTAACCTACGACAGACAGCCTGAGGCCCTCCAAGTGCGGCGCAAACCCTGGGCCCCAAAACCCCACTGCAGGTAGGAACACAGCCACCTGGACACCAGAGTGCTCTGGACAGCCCTGTCCTCCAATGGCCCAAACTGAAAACACCCAAATGTCCACTCAAAAGAACGCCACTTGACTCCCATCCAGACGGGGACAATTCTGGTGCTGGAGGGAGGGGTGGGTAATGGTGTCCCGGGCTGGGAATGGCCAGTTTCTTGGCCTGCTGCTGACCGTACAGTCACTTCATGAAAACATCTTGCAGGCTGGGCATGGTGGTGCACTGAGGCAGGAGGATTTCAAGTTCGAGGCCAGCCTGGCCTACGTAGCAAGATCCCATCTCAAAAAAACCCAAAAGACCCTTAGTGTACTTTCCTGTATGTGGCATTAATAAAATGTTTACTTTAAAAGCAAGCCCAGGCAGGCCCCTGACTTGCGGTCGGACTTAATGGGTTTTGGACACGGCGTTCCCTGGTCTAGAGCCCCGTCAGCCCCACAGTCCTGAGGGGAAACGCAGCCCCTCCACCTCCGGCCACGTAGGTTCTCCAGCTTCCTTCTGATGGGTTTATCAGGACGGGCATTTCCCTCGACTCCACGGCCAGCGCTTCCACACCACTGGATGCAACGGCTTTGCCCTTCATGGCGACCCCACAGTCTCCTCACTGTCCCCCAAGCACCCTGCTGTGTCTCAACCACATAGCTCCCACTGCGTGGTTGGCTGACCGCTGTCCCCAAGCCTGCCAGGCCCCTGCGGTGGGGGCTCCATGCCACTGCACACAGGGCCTGCTGCACACCCTTCCCTTCCTGCAAGCCAGCGTTGCTGGACCCAAGCTCAAAGAACAAGACAGGATGGCTGGGCTGAGCCCAGGTGCTTCTGGGGCTGGGCAGGCCACTGTGTCATGTCCAGGGCAGGGAAATAACCAAGGGGCAGACGACGGACACAGGACATACCTGTGACCCTCCCCCAGTGCAGACATCCCAACTGCCTACACAGCACAGAGCCATGGCCTTGAGGGGACCTCTTTTCCAGATGACAAGGGGTCCATCAGCTGGGAACCCCCCCCGCACTGTTCATGCTGCACACAGGAGGCCCGGCCCTGCGAGACTGCTGAGCGGGAGACACAGAAGGCACACGGGGTGACGAGATGGGGCTGATCAGCCTCCCTGGATGTCCCCTCTGCGGGACAAGACAGCCCTTCCTGCCCGTGGCTGTACTGGTCTCCGGCTCCACTTATGATGGGCTCACCCACCCTGCGTTCTCACATCCGGGCACCGAGGTCTGATGGGAAAAGCCAATGGCTGGGAGTCCCCGCCCTTCTAAATGGAGGCCCAGGGTGGAAGCCCAGGCGTGGCACTTGCACAAGGGCCTGGCATGCTGTGAGAGGCGGCTTGTGTGTGGGAGCCAGCCCTTTAGTCCTTCTTCCAGGCTGGCTCTCAGATGACCCAGGGAATGCTGGGGCCCTGCAGCCATGCCCCGGGAGCACTGGGGAGAAAGAAGCTTCCGGGACCTTCTGGGAGGTGGGTGGGCTCAGGAACACCCTGCCCTGCGGAGGGCGACTCCAGTACTGGGCTCACGCCTGAGCCTAACACCAGGGGTAGGAAGAAAACCCTCCTCGTGTGGCCAATGGCGGCCATGTGTGAGCCATACTCAACCACTGCTGTCAAGGTCCCCATGTCACCAGCTCCCTTGACCATTTCAGTTCAGTAAGGACAGTTTGCCCATTTGAGCATTGAGCTGGACTGTGTCCCCGTCCCGAGGGCTGCCAGGTCCCCTTGTGGCCTCAGCGGGGAGGATTGTCATCTTTTGAGCCTGAGCAAGGGCACATGCTTCTCGGCCGTGACGGATCGGGTTTGTAGAGGCCACTGTTCATAGGATCTGAACTTCTCCACGTGTCCACAGCCGCCGCGCGGGCAGGACAACCCTGCATCACCTCCACCTGAGTCACAAATACACCCGCTCCATGCACAAAGCACGGCTCTGCGACACACAGAGGGTCGAGGTCCCTTCTGCTGCTGGGAACAGCCATCCTGCCCGCTTGGACCAGGGCCGGTGCCCTGCTGCTGCCTGGGTGACCCTCTAATCCCCCACAGTGGTGCCTGGGTCTCTGCGTGGGGCACGGGAGCAGTCTAGTGCACAGAGGATCTGAAACCCACTTCAAACATCGCTTCTTTCTGGGGGTGGCAGACATGGATTGTAAGCCCAGCGGGTAACCTCACCGTGTCTGGGAGGCACCTGGACTTGGGGTCACTGCCTCCTGCTTGCTTGAGAGAGAAAAGTGGCTGTCCTCAAGCAGTATGCTCAGGGGTGGGGGCCCCCAAGCCTGTCCTGTGGCCTAGGCTTTCACAAGGCAACTGCTGTTTTCTTGTGACTTTCACTCCCTGGTATTCCCCGTCCTCCGGGTCAGAACGCAACACAGCAGCTTATGCAGACGGGGGCCTGGGGAAGGCAGGGAGGAGGCTGGATGCCTTGTCGGGCTCCGCATGCAGACGCCCGGCCTCATCCTGCTGAAGGACTAGGGAAATGGCTGTCATCTTCCGTCCAAGGACACAGAGCCTGCGTGTTTCAGTTTTTACACAGGACCTCACCAAACTTAAGACTATGCCCCGTTACAGAAATGAGCTGTGACTGCCCCGTGGACTTTAAAGGGAATCTCACCTCGGCACACACTTAACTGTCTCATAGACAGTAAGGTCAAAGGTGAAGATGTATTAAAATTGACGTCTGGGTACTTGTCCTTAGTTCTATCTCCAAGGTGGGACAATTTCTCCATTTCATTATTTCACAGCAGTGTTTTGGACAAAACATCCTCTCTCCACGTTTCACACAGCAGTGGAGTCACAGCACAGGTGCCCGGTGAGAGACGCTCTTGTGCTGCCCACGTTCCCACCTCTCCAGCGGCAAGTGCTTCAGGAAGCCCGAATTAACTTCCTCCTTAACGGAGGAACTGCTACGAGGCAGGCCTCCCAAACACTTGCATCTTCTGTTATTTAGATGTGTGACTTGATTTCAGAAAAGAAAGGTTTTCCTCCTTTCAGAGTTGCCCTGCTAGAGTGCAGAGTACTAACGCATCACGAAGTGGCTCCAAATCTGTAAACTGGAGCAGAGCAGGTGTGGCCCCGGGGTCATGACAGAACAGTGGCTTGTCTCAAGTGGGCTGCACAAGTCGGGGTCACTACTGCCGCCTCCCTCACCGGTCTACTGCCCAGCCCCCTGGCCACCTATGGAGCCCACCAGGAAGACAGAGCCAAGGGACAGTGTGGCCCAAACCCTCAGCTGGTCAGACTACAGTTCTGCCCTGGCCCCCGCCACCGGCAGGCCCAGGCGCCCAGCCCTCAGCACTGGCTCAGACGCTGTCCTCCAAGAAGCCTCCCCGGTCTCTGCATCGCTGTGCGATTCCTGGGCCTGTCCCAGGGCCCCGCACAGGAAGTCAGCAGACGCATAATGGATGAATGCTAACGTGAGTGTCTCCTGGCCTCAGAAATCCCCCAACCCAGGCCTTCACAGGTCCCTTGGTGGCGTTACAGAAAAGGTAGGCTTGGTCATGACCATCTGCTGTTATAGGACTACAGCTGCTGTCAGCCTCTCTGCTGCGGTTGGCAGAGTGGGTGGCAGGGGAAATCACAGGTGAGCCTGGCAGAGGCACTTCCGTCGACTTGCGGCGCTTTGCAGCATTCTAACCAGAAGCGACACGGAGCACCTTCCGGCTGCAAGTCAGAAATGGGGACCTGGGCCCACAGAGGTGCTGTGGGCAGGGGGCTTGGGGAACAGCTCTGCCTGAGACAGGAACTGCTGCAGCCCCAGGACAAGAAGGGGGCAGCAACTTCTAGGAGGCCACAGAGCACAGGACACCTCTTGCAGGCAGCTTTGCCCTCCAAGCTAGGGCCCTGGGGACAGGTAGAAGGTTCAGAAGGTGCCAGGCGTGTTGGAGGCAATTCTCCTGATGCTGATTCAGAGGACAGAGGTTTAAATACTAAAGCCAGGTCACATGTGAAGCACCAACTGCTAGATAAGGAGTAGGTTACGACTCTTCCAGGAAGTGAGAAGCTGTCAGCGCCCTCCACTGAGCTCCAAGCACATGGTAAAAATACCGAAGCTAAAAATGCGTTTTCACTTTGTAAATGGTGCTGCCTGGGTGCGGCTCAGTGGCAGAGGGCTTGCCTAGCATGCACAAGGCCCTGGCTTCCATCCCCAGCACTGCAAAAAAAAGTAAAATTAAGAAAAAAAAGACTGTTGATCACAGATGAAATGAGATAACAAAACAGCAAACACGACCACAGGCGCTGACCAATTTCCCAGAAACACAGGAGAGAACCAGGTACTTCACTTCTGTAATCCCAGTTACCTGGGAGGCAGAGATAGGAGGCTCATGATTTGAGGCCAGCCTGGGCAAAGAAAAGTTAGCAAGACCGTATCTGAAGAACAGGCCCAGCTTGGAGGCCCAGGCCTATAATTCCAGCTGTGAGGGCAGCAGGGGTAGGAAGATGGCAGTCAGGCTGACCCAGAGCAAAAGGAAGCCCCTACCAGAAAAATAAGCAAAAGCAAAAGGGCTGGGCAGTGGTCCAAGCTGTGGAGAGCCTGCCTAGCAAGCACGGAGCTCTGAGTTCAAACCCAGCTTCCTTCCCCAGGTGGCTGACCCCCTCTTGTCACTGTCTCAGGTTACACGTCCCTTCACCTTGGAGAAGCCTGTGGCTATAGCACCGCCACATGCAGCCCACCTCCTTCAGGATACAGGGGCATGGCTGGCACTGCCCCTCGGTCCCCCAACACAGGTCCTGAGGCCGGGCTCCTTCGGCCACATCCCGCCGTCCTGCTCCAAGGCCCGTCCCCCACCTCCACCAGGTCTCAGTGGGAGTGAGCAGCAAGCCCCAGTCCCAATCCCAGGGCGCCCCACCCAGCAAGCCTCACCTGTCACATGCACCCTGGCTGTCCCTATCCCACTATGTCCTCACCTCGTCTGAGCTCATAGCACGGCTTTTATCCTGGTTTATTTTCACTATCTGCTTCCTATCACTAGGACAAAAACGCCAAAGGAGCCAGAGCCTGGCTTGTCCCCCTGCAGTGACTGGGAGCCACGTCTGGCTGTCCTTAGGGTGGGTTAGGACCCTGCACATTGGTTGTACAAAGCGAGCTCTGAAGAGAGGTGAAGTGGCCACTTTGAACCTCAGGCCTCTTCGGAAAATGACAGGAAATGAAGAAACGCAGAGGAAGGACATTACAGAATGCAGCGGTGACAGAAGCTACTGTGTAAGTCGGTGTCAAGTGTCAGGAACAAGATACAGTAAAAATGATGCAGGAAGGGTACAGGTTTGGGAGGACAGATGAGAAAACGCCCGGCCCCCCCTCCAGGGGGCCTCGAGTGGACAGACACTCACGGAAGTCGTGGCCTCTGGCCTGGACGCCGGGGCCGAGGCTTTGAAGGTGGTGGTGGTTTTGGCGTCTGCTCTTTTGCCGGCTGCCCCGGTGGACAGGCACTCCAGGTAGTCGGGAGGGGGGATGACCACACTGCTCTTCTCAGTCAGGTCCACCGTGCTCACGCTCCTCATGGGTGCGGGGCTCCAAGCCGAAAGTTACGGAGAATTAGATAAGGTTTGTCACTGGACCTCCAGCACCCCATGACAAAGGACTATGGTGACAGTACAGCGTAGAAGTCAAAAAAGGACATGGAGGGCCAGGCGCCAGTGCTCATTCCTATAATTCTGGCTGCTCGGGAGGCAGAGATCAGGAGGTTTGAGGTTCAAAGCCAGTCAGGGCAAATAGTTCTCAAGACCCCATCTTGAAAATATCCAAGACAAAAAAAAAAAGAGGGCTGGTGGAGTGGCTCAAGTGGTAGAGCGCCTGCCTGGTAAGCATGAGGCCCTGAGTTCAAACCCCAGTTCTGCCAAAGAAAAAACGATTATTTAAAAGATGTGACAAAAGGAGAGGAAAATGGGTTTAATTAGGGGCTGGCTCATAAGCAATTGAACCTAAGTACATCCATAAAACAAGGAAGGGTACTGTGAAGTCCTGAGCAAGCATTGAGCACTTCAGATTAAAAATTTTCAAGACTCAGAATTTTCTTTCTCTGAGACAGGATCTTGGTGTGTAGCCCAGGCTAGCCTGGAACTTGAGATCCTCCCATCTCAGCCTCCAGTGCTGGGATTACAGGCATGTACCACTACACCTGACAAGACTCAGAATTTTAACATCCTGAAAACGACACTCAGTTCTTACACCTTAGCTATTGTGCTATGGATAAATATCAGAGATGGCGTCACGGGACACTGGACGAGGACTTGGGAGACTCCACGAGTGGCATTTGAGGATGTGCCTGGACAGCCCAATGGGCTTCTGAGACAGGGAGCCCTGAACATGGGGTGGTTTTGAGGGTAAGAAGGAGTTGAATTGGACATATCACTTCTGAGGGCCCATGGGACAGCCAAGTAGAACTACCTCATACACATAAATAGCCACACCTGGGTCCAGTCTCACCTCTGTCCTAGCAAGTTCTTAAACCTTTCTGTCTTCAGTTTCCTCATTTTTAAAGTGAGATGGGTCCTATCTCAAGGCGTGTTTCAACTGTGCACACTAATAGATGTGGAGCACTTCGGATGGTCTCTGAGTGACACTTATGGCACAGTCTGGACTGCATTACAGGTTTGGGGGTTATCAGCCCACAGGTGCCAGCTGAGGCTTGTTGGTGTCACTGCAGCCACAGGAGTGGATAAGACGGCCCAGAAAGCACCCACAAGGACAAGGACTGAAGACAGACCCCAAAGAGCACCAACGTCTGAGTCGGGGGCAGAACAGAGGCCGACAGAGGACAGAGCAGGGGCGGCGGGGGCGGCAGATGAACAAACGGCCCTCGGTTGCTCGCGTCCAGCCAAGTGGAGCGCTGCGTGTTACATAAAAGTGGGGCTGCATGGGCTGAGGACTGGGGAGGGAAGGAGGGCCGCCCAGGGGCTGCAGGAGGGTGAGAGAGGGTGGTCTGCGCCGAGTGTCATCACAACAGGTGGGCAGCAAAGCCTGGGGCACGGGACCACCGTGGTCACTAGAGCAGCCAGCGGTCTCTATTCCACGAGGGCTGAGCTTTTGCCTCAGGGTGACCATGTATCCTACTTTATAATTGTTTTCCTTATGGCAATACTGGGATTTGAACTCAGGGCTTCACACTTGCAAAGCAGGTGCTCTACCACTTGAGCCACTCCTCCAGTTCATTGCGTTCTGGTTATTTTAGAGATGGGGTCTTGAGAACTATTTGCCCAGGCTGGCCTCGAATCGAGATCCTCCCAAGTTGCTATGATGACAGGCGTGAGCCACCAGCGCCCTGGCTTAGGTCATAATTTTGACTGCCTGGGGACATTAGGACCAAGGTGATTGCTGGGGAACTGGGCCACATTCACTACCTTGGCGCAGGCACCGTCACTATTTCCTTCTCATTTTCTTCCAGCAGCTTTGTGTATGAGGACGGGAACCAACCCCTCCTGTGGACAAGAGCAAGAGCCTGAGGCCAGCACACAGGTGACAGCTGGGGTGGTCCCACTCACTAGTGTCTGAGTGAAACCGAGTACTTCATGTGCACACACAGTGACAGCGTGCGTGCATACACTACTCGTGTAATTTGGAGTTTTCTTATGGTTACTTTTCTTACACTGGTTTTCTTTCATGTGCCTGAATAATCTGTGTGGCAAACTGACCTGAGGGAAGTGAGACTTTTGCTTATATTTGTGGATTAAATGACCAGGATGATACTTAAGCTACTTATGTCCAAAATCAATCAATCTGTCTGTCTGTCTATCCGTCTAGCTATCCAATGTGGAGTTAGGGATTGAACTGGAGCCTTGCACATGCTAGGCAAGCGCTCTACCACTTGAGCCTCTCCCAGCCCTTTTGTTTGTACTTTGTTTTGGGCTGGCCTTGAACTCAAGGTCCTGCTGCTGCTACCTCTGGAGTGGCTGGGCTTCCAGCCACAAAGCACTGTATCCAGCTTCTGTCGTAAATCTTAAAGCATGCTGACGTACAGGTTAGGCCTGAGAAGTCAGCCAACACTTTAACAGACGACAGGAGAATATCTGTGCTGGCCTCTGTCAGGAGATACCGCAGGATCTGCACCAGGTTACTTCCATCCGCATGGATATGGAGAGCAGCCTGGGGTGCATCACTCAGCTACCCAGAGTAGCTGACGTGCTCCTGTGTCCACACAGACAATTAGCAGTTTAGGCAGACAGGCAGACAGACACAGCTCTGCGCGGCACCAACTTACGCTTTGGTGCTGTCGTGCTCCCCGTAGAGCCAGCCATCCTTCTCCTCGGGGATGAGCAGCGTGACGACATCGCCCTGTGCAAAGCCCAGCAAGGTCTTGTTGGTGCCCGCGGTGTGAGGGAAGATGGTCGTCACCTTCTGCTTCTTCAGCATGTTCAGCCCCGTGGCGACGGACACCGACCGCTGCAGACTGGGGTCCTCCGAGGTGTCTGTAAGGGTGAGTGTGACCAACAGTGAAGTCAAGTGACAACTGCAGAAAACCCTCTGTGCCCACCATCATGTCCACGTGGCCCTTCCTTGGAAACTCTGAGACATGTCACAGAGGGTGGAGGAGCCTGTGGCCCTGAGATGGTCCAGTTGTAGGCACCCAGGCAGCTGGGGGCTCTTTGGACAGGACCCCAACATCTGCAGCTCTCTCTTTGAATCAGAGGCAGCTGAGGTAACAGTGAACCCACGCTTGTGTCCTGTGCCACAAGCAAAAGTACTGTTGGAAATGTGGACGTCCTGAGCAACTGAGCAGTGAAGACTCAGTGACGGCTCCCCTTGTTTTTTTTTTTTGCAGTGCTGGGGATCGAACCCAGGGTCTTGCAAGTGGTAAGCGAGTGGTCTGTCACTGAGTCCTGTCCCCAGTGCCTGTCAGTGATCCTGGCCTCTCCAAAAAGGCACTGTTACTGATAGGGGAACTGAGCCCCAAACAGCTCCAAGACTGGCTGGGATCACACGGCCTGCCAAGTGGCAGTACTGGGCCCAAAGCCCATGACCCCTGCTCCAGGACACTATAGCACCACAGGTCACATCTCAACTCAAACACAGAACCCAGAAAATCAGCCTGGAGATCGAATTTATAACAACTCAAGACCGCAAGACTGCCTTCTACGGGGTCCTTACACACTCCTAGTAAGGACGGTGCCATTTTGCTATCTCCTTAACGGACCGCCCTTCCTCGGCAGTATCCAGTCCACCAGCAGTTGTCAGTCAGCTTTTACCAACGAGAAGCAGGGCCCGCGAGCGAGCTGCTGCACACGCCCTTACACGCTTTAACTCCCTCGGAAGCAAAGAGCTGCAGGCTGTTGCTCCCCCGCTCTTGGCCTCGATCCCGAGTCACTAGCAAAGCGGCTTCAGATGCAGTGATCTGCTCAGTGCACAGCGTGATTCGTGCCGTATTTGTACCAAACTGGCTTTCACGACACCCCACACAGCGGCCAGTCCTGATGCGCTGGCATCAGGCAGCCCTTAAGAAACTCAGGCAGCTGGGGAGAACGAGGGAGGCTAAACTTAACTATGCTGTGAACATCGCAGTGTGTGCCCTGTGCGATGACCAAATGCCAATTAAAAAAGAAATTTCAGCAGTTAAACTTAAGTTTCCAGAGAGCGCAGAGGTGGAAATGCTGACGGGAACTCACATTATAAGATTAAGAACCGTAATTGTGCCAGGTAAGATTTTATAGTTCGTCTTTCGTCGTTTTGAGACAGGGCTCATGTAACTAAGGCTGGCCTAGAACCCTCCACCTTCTGCCTCAGCCTCCCGAGTGCTGGGATTACAGATATGCACCACTACACCTCTCCACAGCAATTTACGTAAATATTCACCAGTATAAAGGATTTGTGAAGTGTCATAGGAAGGTGTCACTTATCAATTATTTATTGTGTTTTGTTTTTCCTCCAGTTCTGCGGATGGAACCCAAGGCCTCGAGCATGACATGTGCTCTAACCTGAGCTACACCCCACCCTGGCTTTGCCTATCCACTTCTCCCAATCACCTTCCCTCAGACAAGGGTAAATGCACGAGACACTCATTTTCAAACTACTTCAAGGAAGCCACAGGGAGCCTCTCACCTGCAGAGCTCTTCGTCCTTTCTGAGCTGTGCGCAGCTGCGGCTGGGTTGCTGAACATGTCAATCAAGGGACCGGTGTACGGCTTGGCTGGAGGGGCCGGGGGCATCTTCGGTGAGTATTTAGAGAGGGTGTCGTAGTCCTTCCCGACCTACAAACAGTCCCTTGTGAGTCTGCTGTTGGAGTGACAGCGATGCAATGACATGTGTTCTGGGCATCTTGGAGCACAGACTCTAAGTCCCGCCTGCTCCCTCAGGTCCTCTTAGTGAAGGACGATATTCAGGCTGAGTGATTTTCAGGGTACCACACTTTTTCCCCCCTTTCCTTTTTGTCTTTACTGTCTTTAAAAATAAACAAAAGTGGCTACTCTCCATCCCCTCCCACATCCTGGCAACACCAATCTCCTCTTGACTCCATAGGTTTCAGGCTCCCTCTGCAGGGCTACCCGGCTGTGGCGGGGTCTAGATCCAACAGACTGTTTAACGCCTTTGCTGGCATTGCAGAAACCCACGTGGCCACACTACCTGAATCTCCAGTGTGTTCCTGCAAATAAAATGACAAAGCCCATCTTCAGAGGACAGCCAGCCCCAATGCCTCAACTGCTACTATGGATGCCTTCCTTATTTCTCAAGTGGCCTTCACTGTGACAGTGGCACTGGTTTCCCAGCCTGACCTCTGAGATACCTATACTTCCTTCACTGGAATAAACCCCTGAAGCTGGAATCGATGTGATTAAGAGCAGTAAAGGAAAATTTCAAATGTAGTGAGAAACACTCGCTGGCGTGCTGAGCCAGCCTGGCCCAAATCTGAAGACGCCATGGTCTTGAGAAGCTGTAACTGGCTCCTACCATGCTACTCCGTTCGATCATGGGTGACGGCTGAGGTGTCCCCGACACCGGGGTGGACAGCGGGGTCTTTATTTCTTCTATCATGTGTACAATTTTCTCTGGCACTTTGGTGGCATCACAACAGGTCTCCTGCCACCTGGGCAGTTTGGAATTAAGTAGTTCTGCAGACTGTAAATCCAAAAGAAAGAAAAGTGCCTCATTTGAAGAGCTGACAAAATTGAATCACATTAAATAGTAACACCACTGACTGTCGCCCTGGCTCACGCTGGAGGGTGGGGGCTGAGCTGAGGGGCGGTTGAGGCACCTGTGAGCTATGCTGGTAGAGGAGCTTACCTGCTGCTCCATGTGAATACAGCACTTACGAGTACTACTGGGATTAATGACTGCGAGTCAGCTCCAGCTGGACGTGATCCCAGCACCAGGAGGCACAGGCAGGAGGATCGTGAGATCCAGGCCAGCCTGGACCACATAGCAAGACCTTGTCTTAAGAAAACTCCATGCAGTGGCTAGAGCACACACTCAGCATACGTGAGGCCCCAGGTTCAATCCCAGGCCCCAAAGCCCATCTCCAACACACACACAGCTCAAAAGCTAAAGGGGGAGGGTTGTGCAACCTATGAGTCTCATTGTCATGGAGGCCCCAGAAACAGTAGTCACCATCTTCTTCCTTATTGCAGGCCAGAGGCCCCAGGAGCTGACTCTTGGACCTCAGGAGAACCAATGTGCGTTACACAAGTGAATCACTGTCCTGGGAAGTCCATCCGGGGGACAGAGGGCGTCCGGGCAGAGTGGTCTTTGCAGAGCACAGACAGAAACAGGCAGAGCTGAGACCCCCGCAGCCCTGGAGGCCCAGGTGGCTTCCTGCTCTGTGCACCGGCTCTGCTTCTGCATCAGGCCTCCAGGAGGGCCCCAAAGCCTCTGGTGAGGCCCTTTCCTGGGCCGCAGTCTGGACAGTCTGGAAGCCCTGCGCACAGCGGCCACTGTGTCTTGCCCAGGCTCCGGGCTCAGCAGAAGTGCCTAGGCCCAGCGTGAATCCAGGGAGAGAGCAAGACTCCTACCCTACACCACCTCAGATCCTGACAAGTGGACATGCCACTGCTGCTTGGGCCAGCTAGGGACAGCACTGGGACACCTTAGCTGCCATAGGGGAGGCACAAAGCTTTTCACATAGTTGAAGAAGCTTCTGGTACAGAAAGTGGACTCAGTTTGTGCCACTCTACAAAGCATTACTGGGACCCGAGGGTAAGTCTAAGAAAGACTTCGCCAATAAGCAGAGCTTTCTGGAAATAGCCTGGGCTGCCTCCTGACATATGGGAGGGAGGTTCAAGATCAGTCCCTCCCTGTGTAGCTCCGGTCCCATCACCCTACCCTGACACGAGGCCCTTGCCATGGAGACACCTCCCCACTGCCCTGACCAGCACACCACACTGTGGAGAAAGCGAGCACCCAACATGGTACGTGTTCCTTCGTGATACGACGTCAGATCTTAGGCATCCAGATTGAGGTTACGAAACATGCATGCACACACACAAGACCAAGGTCATTCCCCCTGAAGCTGCTGCAGAGCTCCTGGCACCGCAGAGCTCAAAGTCATTTTGCAGTGAGCAGCAGTGAGTATCTGACCTTAGCCAGGGCTGGGGTGCATGCTTACATACCTGAGAGAATTCACGACTCAGAAAACACAGAAGAAGGGAAATTTAACAGGTACGGAGTGAGAGGCTCCAACCCCACAGCTGCACGTTAGCAGAACTAAGTCCATTGTTGAGGGATCAGGAACAAACACCGTAAACAGGAGGGCAGTCATGAGACCCAGCATCCTGCTCAGTGTGAGTGGGGAGGTCTGTGGCTGCGGCAGAGCAGTCAGTGACCCTCACACAGGTCCTGATGCAGACATCGAGGCTTAGGGCACTCTGAGTCTATGAAAAGCCAACTTGTAGGTGAGCAAAGGAGTATCATTTTATCAGGGATTTTAAACATGGATGTGCTACTGAATTAATTAATATTGTAAGTGGACACTGGAGCATTTCATCAGGATTTCTTAAATTTACCTAGTCAGGCTGGCCAAAACCTTTCTTTGGAACCTTGCTGTTGGCAAAATGGGCCCGTTGCTTTGTGCAAGGCATATCTGGAAGGGGAGGCATCTCCCGGGTTTATTTGTTTGTTTTTTGGCACTGGGGTTTGAATGCAGGGCTCACACTTGCTCAGCAGGCGCTTTATCACTTGAGCCACTCCGCCAGCTCCAGGGGTTTAATATGAGATGTGACCCTCGGGGTAGCCAGCTACTCACAGGTGCCCCGGGCACCTGGTACACGCACCTTCAGGTGGTAGCTGTACATGTGGCTGGCCAGGCTGCAGTGCTTGTCCACCAGGAAGCAGAAACGCCGCTTCTCTTCAAGCAATGCCTCCTTGCAGCCGTCTGCAATGAATTTCTGGATTTCACTCTGGCGAGAAGTGACGGTCTCCACGTACTAGGAAAACAAGCCACCATGACACGAGTATGGCACTGTGCGGCATGACACGTGCCTCCTGCCGTCCTCACACTTGTGTGGTTTTAATGATGGCATGAACACTAAACGCAGTGGATGTTAGACTGGACTCTGACCTGACCTGAGTGGACGCCATCAACGACAGGATGGTCCCTGACGTCATGGAGAGAGAAGTTGTGCATCCCCGTCCTGTGGCAGGCACAGAATATGACTTTGTGCCTTAACAGTGACCACGCTCTGCTGCAGGCACTGTGGACCAGCTCCAAATGCTTACTACGGACGTAAGTGCACAACGGGGACAGTGATGGGAGCACAGAGGTCCCTTCTCATCAGTCAGGGGAGATGCTGATGTTTTTAGGAGGTCATAGGCTAGACATTCTTGATATTTTTTTTATTTGGTGGGTCAGGTTTGAACTCAGAGCTTCACACTTGCAAAGCAGGCGCTCTACCACTTGAGCCACTCCCCTAGTCCATTTTGCTCTGGTCATTTTGGAGATGGGATTTCAAGAACTATTTGCCTGGGCCGGCCTTAAACCATGACCTTCCTGATCTCAGCCTCCCAAGTAGCTGGAATTACAGGTGTGTGAGCTCACCTCCATCTCCTTGTGCTCGTACTTGAGTGCATTCCGCCCACCTTGGCTTTTCCTTCGGATCTTCTTCAGCTCTGCCTGAGATTTCTCCAGAGAGTCTAACTTACTCCTGTGCTCGGTTTGGTATCTCTTCAGAGTTGCCTGCAAGAAACATGGTGCTTATGTCAAGCTCTCAAACAATCACTTTTTCTGGCGCTTGTACTGCATGTGACTGGTGCTGACACCCCAGAGGAGGGGTGATTTTGGGTAACATGTACACTTACTACCACAAGGGAGCCTTGGAAGGAATGGGGAAGCAAGTTAGCATTCCCCAGCAGAAAGGGAAGATGGAAGGAGCCCAATGTTCTGTGGCAAGAGAGCCGCGAGGACGGCAACCCCGGGTGACAGGCAAAAGACATCGTACACAACTTGTGTCCTGTGTGTGGGTTTGTGAAAGCGCCAGCTGCAGAACACAGACACAGAGGTCCTGGCACACATGCTTTTCTCTTTTTCCTCTCTCCTCTTTTTAAAGGCAGGTTTGTGCTATGTAGCCCAGGCTTGCCTGGAACTCGTGATCCTCCGCCTCAGCCTCCTGAGTGCTGGGATTACAGGCATGCACAACCATGCCTGGCTCTTATGTTTTCTAATACACACCCCAAGTGGTGGCAGAAGAGCCTCCATCCATGGGGACCTGACGGTGCCTCGTGTTGGCACCAAGTCCCACCCCCGATTGTTGCGGCTGAGGAGCCACCGGGAAGATTCTGGAAGAGGGAGGAAAGCTGCACTCACAGTCATGTACTTCACGTCAAGCTCCGTCTTCTTCTCCAGCTCGTGGATGACCTCCTTATGGAATTTTCTGAACTGTTCGCAAAATAAAACAAAGTTCACACCAGATCGAGGTCTTAGGCAAATAAATTTAAACAATGAAGCAAATACATTTTGTAAATGTAAACCATCACGCACGTTCTCGTCAAGACTCTCATTGAGCTGCTTGTGGGTGCTGGAAATTTCTATGAGGACGTGGCCTGTGAACAAAACAAGACACATTAGGAGAAGGCACGGCGTGGCTCTACAAAGATCCACAGGGGACAAAATAACAGAAGGGAATGAGGTGCCCCTGCCCTCAGGGGTGTGGATTTCACACCACAGGTCCCACGTCTGTCCCTCTATGACATCAAGAATGCCCTCTTTGTCTTCAAGTTCACCTTGTTTTTCTATTCATTTATTTTTATTTATTTATTTATTTTGAGGCACTGGGGTTTGAACTCAGGGCTTCACATTTGCTAGGCAGGTGCTCTGCCACTTGAGCCACTCCACCAGCACTTTTTAAGGGCTCATAACTATTTTCCTTGGCTGGCTTTGAACCTTGCTCCTCCTGATCTCTGCTTCCTGATAGCTGGGATTGCAGGAGGGAGTCACCAGTGCCCAGCTTGGTCTTTCTGTTTAACTCATTCCGTAAGCCAAATTCTACACATCTGATTTAATTCTGAAATACTGTTACAAAAGATTATCTCAGCCATCTAGTAACTAACTAACTATAGAAAGAAGTGATTTATTTTTATCTACTCCCCAGAGAGATCTGATTATTTTTCAGTTGTAAGGGAAAATGTTTTGTTTTGTTTTTCTTTCTCATTTTAGTTCTTGAATTGTTCTGGAAAATATTAATGCCAGGGACACTGCAGCAGGTACAGGTTTTTGCCTCAGATCTCCTGGAACACCACTTCTCGGAAACAGGGATGGTGATGACAAAAGAGAACAAAGGGGCCACATGACTACTTGGTTTGTGAAGCCCGTCTCTCTTGGAGTTGGTGATGTTGTGATGCTTGCCACCTTTCTCTGACAAAGGTGAACAAGAGCCTCTCTCTGCTGAGTTCCTACAAGACCCCAGCCGACCTGAAGCCATGAAGTGGGGAAACACAGAATCAACTTGAACCACTGCCACCACCATGCTAAACAACAACAGAGAGCTGGCATTGTGGCTCATACCTGTAATCCCAGCTACTTGGGAGGCAGACAGAGGAGGATCACAGTTCAAGGTCTGCCTGGGCAAAGGAGTTAGCAAGAGATTATTCCAACCAACAAGCTGGGTGTGACACACATGCCTATGACCTCTGCCACACAGGAGGCAGATGTAGAAGGACAATGGTCTGAGGCCAGCCCTGGGCAAAAAAGAGACCCTATCTGAAAAATAACTAAAGAAAAAAAGGCTGGTGGAGTGGCTTAATCAGCCACTGGTTGAGCACCTACCCAGAAAGCATGAGGTCCTGAGTTCAAACCCCAGTGTTGCCAAAAAAAGAAAGAGAAGAAACCAGAACGTGCTCACAGTCATTCTATGTTCCATGGCCAGATAAGAAAGGAATGTGGTGTGAACCGAACAGCTGCAGACAGGGAGAAGACGAGCAGACCGATGCTGGCCTCAGCTTCATTTCTGCACACAGGACAGCCCTGATGGCACCCCGTAGTGGACACGGTGAGAGCCATAGAGGCCATGGTGAAGGTGAGCTTGCCGGCTGTCCACTCCTGCAATTCCAGCTCCTGGCTGCCAATCAGCTAGTTACGGGGTGACTCTCACCTGTGTCATACCCATGGGGAAGTCCCACTCACTGCCCAGGTGCTATCATGTGGGCCACCTCTAGGGCGGGACACACCTCTTACTCAGCTTTCTTCCCTGGATCACAACTGTGTGGCTCTCTGTGCCCTGTCCCTGCCTGGGGAACGACACTCAAGGTCATGGACACCTGCTACCAAATCTTCACCAGAAGGGGAACACGCTGCCTGTTCACACCAGTCTCCCACCTCCCCACCCCCGGGTTATCGTCGCTGGACTCCCAGAGTCCGCTTCTTGATCCTCCAGGGTGCCAGGGGCCTTTCCAAATGCAGACGACATGACCCGTGGTGGCCTGGACCCGCTGAGGCTCCTGAGTGACAATCAGAAGCCTCTGGGGACAGTGCCACCTCAACCCTGCACAGGGTGGGGAAAAGAACCCCCGGAACTTGACCTGGTCCTGTGAGGCCATGTGCAGCAGGCTCCAGGGATGTGACCGTCCCTAACTGTGCGTGGTTCTAGGAAGCTCGGGTAGGACAGCGTGCAGATGAACAAGAGTGCTGCGACCTGCAAGCCTCCCGCCCTGTCCTCACGAGGCGACCTAAAACGCCCCAGCCTCAGCACGAGAAAGCAAAGCGCCGGGAATTCTTCCCACGAATGTAATCACACTAGTAAGTCACTGGAGACCGAGTGCCATTGCCGACGGGGCGCTGCTCACGTCCATCTCAGCCAGATGCTTCCTTGTTGGAGAAGGGAAAGAGACACGAGGCACCTCAGTGTCTGAAGGTCAAGTCCTCCGTTCTCATCCTGAGGCAGAGCTGCTTTGGGAGAAATGGTGCGTGTCACACTGCCTTGGTGTGGAAGTGGTGCAGGCACGTTTGTTCTCATCCTGTCCTGCTTCATGAGTGTCACTCTCCAAGTGTGCTAGCAGGGACGCTGCATCTGACGGTCACCATCCTCCTGTGCTTCTGCCACCACAGGCACAGGCCATTCCCTGCGGGCAGGAAGGGAACCCCTGACCTGGCTCTTCCTGTCCCTCACCCTTCGTGGAATTCTACAGCTGAACCTCAGTTGTAAACGGGCTGAAACCCACCTTGGCTGGGACTATGCAAGCTGCCAAGACGTATCTTGACACGGAAGAGGAAAACTCCGAAATTGAGCAAGTGAGACTCCATGTTTGAAACGTCAGGTCACACGCATTCGTTAACTCAGTCCTGTGACCTACTTTTCTTTTTCATTAATTCTATTTGAGAAGGAACTGGACCCCGAGAGCATCCAAGGGTGGAGTCCAAGGAGCAGCCCAGACTCGAATGGGGCAGAACCAAGGGCGTGCAAAGCCAGGACAAGGAAGGAGCTGTCACACGAGCCGGTTCCCCATCCCCCTTCCAGGTGTGGAGCCAGTGTTGTGGGAGGAAAGTCAGGAACTGCAGCAATGTGACCTGGTCTGGCTGAATTATGTTCTAAGTGGGCAGTGTTAAAGGCTTTTATTATTATTGTTGTTGTTATAATCTTTGCGGGGCTGGGGATGAACCCAGCGCCTCACCTACACCAGCAGGCACACACCTACCCCTGAGCTAGCAGCTGGGTAATTCCTCACTAATCCCCAGTAAAAATTTACAGGAGTAAAGGATGGGGACACACAGAACACGAGCTGAGGACGTCTCATCGTGGGTGAGGACGCTTGGTTACTTTCCTTCCCATGTGACTACAAGTGGGGTCAGACAATAAATGCCAGGACACAAGCCAGCCTAGGCTGGGCTAAAGTTCCACCCTGCAGACAAAGGGGACACCGACCAACAACATGGCCGCAGGGAGGATGGCATTTCTGGTGACTTTCCAGGTGCAAAGGTGATGGGGCAACCCAGTCGTCTAAGGCCAAGCTCACAGGCATTACTGTGAAGCAGGTGCGCCCTCTGCAGACCAGAGTCCCCCCACTTGGGGCAGAGCAGTGACCACAGCGTGTGGTGACATCAAAAAGGCTTGTCGCTGGGTGGCCCTCCTTCCCCAGATGTGGTTGGGCAGCTCTCAGGCGGGCGGGTACCGGGCTGCAAAGGTGAGCAGTGAGTGCCTGAGAGAAAGCCAAACTAGAAACGGGCGAGAGCCTCAGAGTCTCGCTTCTGACTGAAAAGCAACTGCAGGCTACGTCTCTAATGACCACAGGCACACCACTGCCCTGCCACTGCACTGGAAAAGGGCGAGTGATGCATATCTAGGGCCAAATGTCACAAGAGCTGGCTTAAAGGAGCTACTATCAGTAAATACGTGAGAGTCTAGTCTGAGCACCAAAGTAGTGGAGAGGTCAGAAATCACTGAAAAAGCTAGGACCCCAGGAATGAACAGCAAGAAGAGATTTCAAAAAGAAATGGGGGACAAGGGCGTGCTTTGGCTAAAAAGTACAACGCCAAGCACCAATTAGTAAATAAGGAGGGAGCAGTGGAGTGGGAGAATCAGTATTCATTACTAGGTGTGAAACCTATGATATAAATACTGATGAAAAACAAGATGCCCACCCCCCCAGAGTGCTTGTTAGTAACAATGTGAAAAAAAACTAGACCTAAAATAATACGATGTGATTATAAAAGTGAGGGGGGAATGGGGGGAGGGGAGGGATGGAAAGAGATACAGGATGGTAAGTGTCACAGAAATATATCATATATATATATATGAAAATAGCACAGTGAAGCTGGGCACGGTGGCTCACACCTGTAATCCCAGCTACTCAGGACGCAGAGATCAGGAGGATCACAGTTCAAAGCCAGCCAGGGCAAATCGTTCACAAGACCCTATCTCAAAATATCCAACACAAAAGAAAGGGATGGGGAGTGGCTCAAGTGGTAGAGCACCTGCCTAGCAAGTGTGAGGCGTGGAGATCAAACCCCGGTGGTGCCAAAAAAGAAAAAAGAAAGCACAAAGACACCCATCACAACCTGTTACACATGGGTGAGGAGGAGGGCGGTTAGACATTAACACACATGTTGTAACCACCACAATGAAACCCTTTGTACAACTAACTCATACAAATAAATTTTTAAAGAATTGATTTTGATGAAATTAAACTATTTTTCTTTAAAGTACAAAACAAAAATGTTACTTTGCAAGGTAGAACTCAGACAATGCCTCCCCCTGGACAACCAAAGTTACGTGAAAGTGGGAGGAAAATGGAGACTGCATGCCCACATGAGACACTCAGTGGACACAGGTGACCTGGGAGCGGTGCCCTGAGCTCGTGTAGCGGGTCCAGGCGAAGTGGCTTAACCCTCCCTCCTCACTAGCACTCTGTGTAGGTCGGCCTCACAGCAGGTGGCCACTGCAGATTAGATTTAGCAACTTATTCTAAGATCGATGCTCTGTCTGTAGTAAGACCGCAGCAACCTCAGTCTCAGCAAATGATCGACGGGTCAAAGACACACAAGTCAAATGTCCCCAGAGCCCGTGTGGGCTGCACCGCAAACCCCAACGTTTTCTCCTGGGAAAAACGTG